GGGAGGGGATTAAGAGGTGGGGAAACAGGGAATCTGTGGGAACCTCTGACCGCTTCGGCCGGGGCCGAGGCGAATGTATGCTCGCCTGTCCCCTCCCTGTACTTCAAACGCCTGATTCCTCACCTGCGTGTCGACCAAATCCCAAGCTGCCGTTCCGGATAGAGTGTTTCAGAAGAGGAATCCGTTCATTCTTGGGCTGAGGTGCGGTCAGGCAACACTCCCAGGCGCAGAGGAGACGTCCTCTCAAGGGTTTGGAGCCGTGCATCTTGGCAGGCGGAATCCCAAGAAGAAGAAAAAGAAGTTTGAGCTCATGGAGGAGGTGGAGGTGACGGAGCCCGAGGAAGAGTTCGAGAGGGAGCAAAGCATCCACGACATACTGAAGAGCGGCTTCTCCGATCTCTTCCACGCCAAGCGGGACGACATCGCACAAGCCAAGCCACGGGAGCTCGAGGACTTTGATTCACCGACCCAAAGCCGAGGTCTCGGCCAAGGCGACTCCTCGAAGTACGAGGAGCTGCAGGTGATGAGCCCCCTGAGCGACACCGAAAAAGCCTCCTCTGCCGAAGAGGTCCTGGACGAGAACCAGGCATCCTTGCAGGGGCGGGGGGATGGGGGGGAATATGACGGCATCCTGGGCGCTAGGCTCCCTAGGCTTCCTCGATTCGGATTTTCCTGGGAAAAGTTGTATCGTACGGGAGAATCTGAAAGGCAGATCCGTTTCGGATCATCGGAGACGAGGCAGATTTGGTGCACGCCCCAGGTTGCAGATTCCGAGGCGTCTTTTCTGAAAGCGAGAAATTGAAAGGCAGACCGCATGTTTTGAGACCCTAGCTACTGGCAAGAGCAGCACGCCGACTTAGGCGGTTCTGGCCTGCCTCCTAGCAGAGTGCCGTGAGTACCGGTTTCTACAATCTGCATCAAGTCTCTTGGGGCTTTCAAGTTGTAAGGCAGCTGTTGACTGGGCGATGGTGGTCGCTGCAGGCCCAACTCCACATGGGGGTTTCCGAAAGAGGGGACCCTAATATAGTACCCTAAACAGGAGGATCCTCATTGCAAGGGCCCCAAATAAGGTACCCTAATTTTCGGAAAGTCCCACATGTGACCCCCGGGAGCCCTCCAGATTCGACTTCGGTGCAGGTGAGGCCGACACGGAGCCACCAATGTCACCCATGTCGGTGCGACAAGCGGCGGTCTCAGTCGAGCGGCACTCGTCGTATCTCAATGTGCATGATTGTTAGTAACGTAAAGCTACCCAGTTTGCGAGGTCGCTCGACTTGCCGCAAAGTAAACTCGTGTCCTGCCTTGCAGTACCGCTAGCACGGCAATTTAGGTGAGCACGAATGATGGCGCGTCTTTGCCGGGCGAGGAGAACCCATGTCCGGATATTCAGCATGTCCTTTTGCTGGCCACCTGCTGCGCAGGACAGTCAGGAGCTGCAGCGCTATTCCTCCAAACGTCAGCAGCTTGTGTGTCGGCACTGCTGGCTGTTGCCTCTTCCAGCTGGCTGGATGGCTGACGGTGGTGTGGCCGGCCCCCTCGGACCCAGGAAGCGTTCCGTACCGACCGGAGGCAGCGGTGAGGCCGAGGGCGAGAGAAGCCTGAAGCTTGAGTTCGCAGAGTCTCAGTCACGAGGCACACAAGGAATCCCAGTTACAAGAGGACCGCAACCTGGCCAGTGCCTCAGCGATGTGCCGCAGTTGCCGGTCTTGCTCTTTCGCGTTGTAAATTTCTGAGGCAGAGGCAGAAACCCGTTGAGGACCGAGGCCAAACTGACCTGTGGGACTCAGACAAACGTGCGCTCTGTTGTGCATCTTCTGCCACTCCGATCAACATGTTCCAGGCGATGAGGAGCGTCATGGGCGTGAGCAGTGTCCTTGGAAGAAGCGATTTCATGGTCCTCAGCCCCAAACCCGAAGCACAAAACTCACAGTTTTAGTCCTAAACAGTGCATTCCGCGGACCTGCTCTTGCTTTCAGGCTTAGCTTTGCCACCTGCAGCGAGCTGGCCAAGAAGCACAGGCGACTAAGCTTTTTTTTATTGGCCTTTTGTGCTTTCAGTGCCTTCATCCTGGATGGCGGCAGGTTGACTGTCGTGCAGGTGAGGGAAACTTTGGAGGTGCACTCCTCTGCGGCTCTTTCTCTGGAACTACTTTGCCAAGTCTGCACACAAAAACGGTTGGTGCGCCACGCCGCTCTGTCTGTCTTCGTCTGTCTCTGTCTCTCCTCCCGTCTGCTTGCAGGCTCTGCAGCTTTGGAGCAACATGACTGTTGTGGGGTAGATCCATACCATTCTCCGTCTTCTGCCCCGCACAGGAATATCTCCTCCTGGACAAGAACAAGGACGGACGCCTGTCCTTCGACGAATTTGAGCAGGTACGAGCCTCCAAACCTGCCGAAGCTGAACTGACAGCCGTGAAGTGGGAGGCGATTCGCGACCGTTGCGCCATACCGGTCGGTCAAGTTGTTCCACCGCACCTCCTCAATTTCAACTGGAACAAGGCCCGAAAGTAGACTCGTGAGGTGTGACTCTCGTCATAAGAGCCTGCAAAGAGGGCCCGACCTGAGCAGGCTGACAGGGACGGCAATGCCGAGATTTGCTTCGAAGAGTTTTTATTATGGTGCGATCCCCAGATCGGCCACAGCTCGGGCAGAGTGTGGGCTGCGTTTTTCCGCTAAGCTATGAAAACTCGCGGGTGGGTTTTCATGCAGGTCCACAGAGCATGCCTTCACAGAAGAGCTGGTGGTGCATGATCCCCAGGACACGGTAGGGGGGACAGATGATGGGGACAGAGTATTGAGTATTCAACAGAAGATCTCAACAAGTTAGAAAGCTTCCGAGCTGCCTGTCTCTGAGTTCAGCAGGAGCGTTATCTGCGGGAGTTGGCCCGCAAACATAACTTCACCCTCGACGAGGTGATGGCCTTGCCATCTTCTTCTCAGGTTTCCTCCTTTGTCTGCTCGGGCTCCCAAGGTTTTTGATGGACTCTCGCGCGAGATGTGTTTGTCTGAATGACTACAGGGTAGCGGTCTGTAGTTTCCCGCAAGATATCCAAGAAAGCTTGTGGAGCTAGGGGAATGACGGAACCTAGGACCTAAGCTATATGGGCAAGGAGAGGGTTGCGGGACTATGCCAGATTGTAGCTGTCATAGATGCATGAAGTTCGCAATGGAAGATCACGAAAAGAAGCACGCGACGATGAAGAGGCTATTTCAGGAGAGTGCAGCTCTTACTTTCATTACTGCCGCACCCACTACCCCTGCCTGCAGCACTGCCAGTGCTACCCCTGTTGCTATCTCCACTGACTGGCCCAGAGATCTCCTAAGCCCTTAGCCCTAAACCCTAAACCCTAAACCCTAAACCCCTAAACCCTAAACCTAAGCCCTAAACCCTAAACCCGCAGGTCGATCGATGCCACAAGACCTTCAGTGCCTCAGATGCCAACAGGTCTGCCTCGGCTTTGTGCTCTGCAGGGCTACGGCTAATGGGTGCTTTGAGAGGGTTCGTGAACATTTCTCTCGTTGGGTTTCCGACTTGGGTTTCCGGCATGATGAGCTGCTCTCTGGAATTTTCCCCCCCCGATAGCCGTAGCCTATCTTGTCGGGTAAGTGCAGTGGTTTTTGCTTGTCTAGCCCATGTGCGGGAACGTCTCAATCCACCGACCGCTCATACCAGTGGTCTCGTTGAGACCCTGGGGCTTTCATGAATACATCCGGCAAGAGACCGCAGGAATGGCTCCATTGAGGAAACGGAGTTCCGTCACTGCGTGGCGTCTTTGTGGAAGTGCGATTTGCCCGGCGCCCATCTCTTCAGCGGATGTTCAAGCAGAGGGAGTTTCTGAGATGGAGACAGAATCTATGGTGGGCCCTTGCTCCCGTCAAGCCGGCAAGCCTGAACCCTGAACCGACCGGCGAGTGGCAACTAAAAGACCGGGGGTGGAGTAAGGCGTGGGACAAAGCAAACGACAGAGTGTCGTCGTGGATTTCCCGAGATAGACTTCAAGATGACAAGGAGAAGAAGGTAGATGTCCAAGCCTGTGTTTTTGTGGAAAGGGCAGCATCAGCCCCCCATAGGCCAAGATTTACACCAGCCCGAACTTCCGAGAGCCTCGTCTTTCCCATTGCTCTCTGAGGGAAGACATCTCCCCCACGAGGCTGCGACAGTTCTGGCTCGAGGTGGAGCCGAATGTTGTTTCCTGCCAGCTCCGAGGTCTCTCCTTTGCCCAAGTGTTGTGAAGCTGAGGCGGACAAAGCCCGAATGGGAAAGCTCAGCTTCGAGGCTCTTTGACCATAGGCCCTCAGAGGTTTCTCGAACTCTCTGCCCTTCCGCCGAAAGGTTTTTCTGGTCTGGTACATGAGGATCGGAGTGCGCTGAGATCTCGTAGAAATTGCTGCTGTATCCCTATGCGACTGTTTCAGACGGGAGCTGTGGCTGTGGAACACAGAATCGGCCTTCCCGAATTGCAGCCTTGAGTCGTGCGACTCAGTGGCCGGGTTATTTTACGACCGGCTTGGGCGCCTTTGACGATTTTGTGCGGGGATGTGGCTGGCCATATGGGAGCCCCCGTTCCTTTTATATACATGCCTTGTGGCCTGGAGACCGCCCACACGCGCGCCTGGTGCCACGAGGCAGCAAGGATGGAAGTGCCAGAATGTGGCGAAGCCACAAACAGCACGGCTGTCATGTATGTTTCTAGCGGTGACACCCTGCGGCATGCCTTTGAACTGACAAAAAGCAAGCGTCCTCAGCGCTTCCGGACTGAGCCTTCGAGCCATGGGCCAAAGCCAAAGCAAATCTTGGCTCTGAAGGATAATTATATGTAGCTACATAGAATTATATATAATTATATATAACTACATATAATTATATATAATTACATACTTATATATAATTATATATAATTATATATAGTCATATATAACTTTATATAACTTTATATAACTATATATAGTTATATATAGTTATATACAGTTATATATACTTCTATATAATTCTATATAGTTATATTTAATTATATATAATTATATATAATTATATATAATTATATACACTTGTATATAATTATATATAATATATATAGTTATAGATAATTCTATATAACTATATATAACTATATATAGTTATATATATATATAACTATATATAATTATATATATATATATAGATATATATATATAGATATATATATAGTTATATATAATCATATATACTTATATATAAATCGTCATGGGAGCTTTGAATTGCCACCAGGCCCGGCAGAAGCAGGGAGCGCTGGCGAGGCCGAGACGGAGAAGAGGAGGCTCCAGTTTCCAGACAAACAGACTGCTCCAGCTGGCACCAAACATCCTCTCTGATGTCCTTTGGGCGCTGTCTGGCTGCGCCGGTGATTCCCGGGTCTTCAAACCTATAAGTGCCCTCCGTGGCACTGCCCGAGGGCTCCGAGAGACTCTGGACCAGTCGCAGTTCTGGCCACGCAAGGTGAACTTCATACTCACTGCCTACAGCGCCGGGTTTTCGAATTTCGCAGGCGTTCGCTGTTGTTTGATTTGGCACATGGATACTGATAGGCTTGGGAGCTCTACTTTATTCAGGAACGCATGTAGACGAGCGTAGATCTATACCTACACACGCGCGTCAACATGTTGCTCATGTATGAATGTATGTGGTAGTTGATCCAAAGCTCCTTGAGCCATTAGTTATATGAACGGCCAACAGCATAGCTACAGTAGCCTTCGCGAAAGTTCCGCGATGGTTCCGCTAAAGATAATTTTTCCTACGAAAGTCATCTTTTTGGCCTACTTGCCGCACTATTTCTATTACCATTACTATTGCTAATACTATATCTGTTACTAGTACTAGTACTAGGACTTTGACTATTACTATTCCTGTTGCTTCTGCTATTGCTATTGTGAATATTGTTATTCCTGTTACGGTTATTACTAACATTACGAGTATTACCATTATCACTATGATTTCCATTACTTTTATGAGTACTATGAACACGATTTCCGTCTTATCATTATATTTGGTATTGTTGTTACTACTGCCGTTGATAATTTTGCTATTGATGCCATTGCTCTTAGGGTTACTAGTACTAGTACTTTTGTTATTATTCTAGAACCACTTCTCATGCTCTTGCTACTGCAACTGGTACTGCTGTTACTACTCCTGCTGCTGCTGCTGCTACTGCTGCTGCTACTGCTGCTACTACTACTGCTGCTACTTACTGCTACTGCTGCTACTGCTACTGTTACTAGTCTCCACTTACTACCACTACCTGCCATACCTACTACCCACAACCTTATCAACGACAAACCCAAAAATTCGGATCCAGTACAGGGTTTAGCGCGTACGTTCCGCGTAAGTCACGTTAAAATCGACGTAGCCAGATCAAGGCCAGCCCCCATGGACATTGTTGGTGCATTTCGCGAGTGGCTGGCGAAAGGGGCACCTCCTGAGAAGCCCTTACGACCCCTGGAATAGCCTCTTGAAGAAAGCTTTTCAATCCTCCGTTGGTACGAAAGCCTGTCTGACGGCTTCACAAACCCCAAAGCCGGTGGGAAAGGATCCCAGAAACTCTCAATCAATCGAGGCACCAAAAGCTTTGCAATCGAGAAACTTTCAGGAGACTTTGTCAAGAATCTAAACCCTAAGACGGCTTCCGACGGCCTTGATCAGCTATTGTAGCTTTCACGCAGCCCTGCTTCCAAAAGCTCTTAATTATAATGCGCGTAACAACTTGTCATCGCCAAGCTTGTAGCTTATAACTCAGGGTTCTAACATGCAACGGTATGTAAGTAAGCCTTCGCGAAAGTTCCGCGATGGTGGCACGAAAGTTAATTATATATTCGTGAAGAATGTCATTCCGGGATGAAGCAATTTAGATCAACTGCCTTGTACGTACGTATGTATGTTGGTATTCTACATACATACATACAGACATACATACATACGTACATACATATACACGCAAACACACACTCGCGCACTCATTGACATGTCACAGATTCTAAACAAGGCCCACTGAAGTTGCAATCGGACATCCGCAGCCTTCTGGAGCCCGTGGGCCCGCAGCTGTGCATTCGGCTGCTTTGCTGTGCCTGGCTCTTGCAGAGCGCGCTGAGCTGCGACTGTGCTCTGAGGGCTTAGGGCCATGAGTGGTTGGACCCAGAGAGGGGTCAGCTGGTATAACTTTTAGAAGCTCAAAGCTGCCACTTCTGCATGAGTGCACCTTTGCACTCTCTCTCTGCCCTAAGGTGATTGGATGGCCCTGCATGATCTGCATCTGCTGTTGTGTGGCTTGGGCTTGCCCTGCGAGTGGAGTATGGTGTTGGTCATCCGGCAACTCGTATCCTTCTCTATAAATATATTCCCGCCTCCCTCGGTGCATTGGTTGCGGGACTTGCTGGATGGCGTTGTGAAGCCTTGGGAACAACCCAGCCGGCCACCTCGTGCCCACGATCTGGAAAGGCTCCGGGAATGGCTGCAGCGGAATCTTTCGGAAGAGGTTTGGCCTTGGAAGCAGCTGGCTGGAACAACTCCTTTCTACGACGATACGCTGAGCAAGAAGCACCAGATGAAGTATGCAGGAAAGACGGTCAAGGTGGCAACTTGGGTGCTCCTCACGCGTGAGCTCTTCGCTGAGAAGGCTCCGGCCTCAGTGGTACAGGGTCCCTGCCATGCTGAGATGGAGCAGCGTTTTACGTTTTGGCATACGTGGCATTGTCGTGTAAGGGGGGAGGGAAATCGGATGCACGAGCAGTTTCATTCGTGGTCGGGAACGGGAGCTTGAAGATCATCGATGTCAGTGATAAAGAAAAGGATGAAACCAAGTGCAATGCTACAAGCTTCCTCTCCTAAGACGTCTCGGGAAGATCATCAGCTTATGCCTTTGTGTGAAGATGCAGCCCTAAACCCTAAACCCCTAAACCCCTAAGCCCTAAATTCCTACAGGTTTTGGGTCCCTCAAAGGAGTGTCCTCTTCTAACCGATGGCTCGGCTGAGGCGGAAGGACGGCCTTTTCAGCCCAGGGCCGAGGCGTTGTCTCTTCGGGGGAAGGCCTGCTCTCTCAAAAATCCCCATAGGTGTTTTGACCGGCTTTTTTCTGTTTGACCTGGCCTTTAAGGGCAGAATGGCCTGCCATGGCTCGGAAGTCTCTCCTTTTTGTTTTGTCCCTTCTCGCACCTGGGAGGCCAAGCTGCGTGGCGATCGGCTCAACCAGGCGCGGCTTCAGAGGGCTTGGGATCGAGCTTTCGTTCTAGCAGTTCTTGGCATTTCGTCTGTGGCGTAGCTTGTCTGTTGATCGAGAATTCAAGAGGATTCCCGGCTCTCTTCTGTGCTCTCTCTGCTTCCGATACTTGTTCTTACCATGATCATTCTTATCCTTGAGTATCAGTACTCTTATTATCATTATCTCAGAATGGTTCTATTCTCTTTCCTTCTCACGGCGGGTGCCGGGCCCAGGTTTGGATGCTTCCTTTGCTGCTGGCAGAGCCGCTCGCCCAGCTGTCGAACCCTGCACCTGTAGGATGTTTTTTTTAGAGCTTAGGGTTTTGGGGTTGAGCTGAGACCTTAGGGCTTAGGGTTTAGGGCCTTTGAGTTTAGGGTTTAGGAACTTTGGGCCTATGTAGGATTCAGAGCTTATTAGGTCGGGTTCGGGAACGCGAAACCGGCCTCGGGCTTTCGGTTTTGGATGCTTCTGAAATTCTGCAAAGTGATGAGGGTGATGCAGCGGCGGCGCTCTCTTTTTTAAGGGCTTGTTCATGTAACGCCAGACCACGCCAGGGCAGAGAATGTGCACTGCTGAAGGGGTGTTCCCTAAGCCCTTTTGGGAGTTTCAGGGTTTGATATTGTCCAGGCCCCTCCGGCGCCGGAAGCCCGAGATCACAACAGGCCTGGATTTTCTAACCTTTATGCCTGTCTGTCTTTGTCTCTGTCTGTCCGTCTGGCTCGGTCTGTCCCGTTTCTCCTCCTCGGTCTGTCTGCTGTCTCTGTCTGTCTTTGCTCTGTTTGTCTTTCGCTGTCTGCCTTTCTCTGTCTGTCTCTCCGTCCGCTTGTCTGTCTGTAATTTATGTGTGGATAAGTGCTCGTATCTGCTTCCAGGTTCCTGCCTTCCCTCAAAATCCACTTAGAGGTGTCCTCGTTGTTTTTGGTGGGATTTGCGGTGGTGACGTGTATCGGTTCAGGTGCGGAGGCACGGACGTATGAAAGGGACTTGGGCCGGCTGCCAGGGAGGACGTAGGCACATAGATAGGTTTGAGTGCAGTCTTTAGAACTTTAGCGCTTGCAGCATGCATTATGCATGCAGCTGCGAGCTTTGTTTCTAGATTGTTTGCTGAAGGCTGCTGGAGCGGCTTGGCTCTGACAGAAGTCCACATGCAGGAGCAATCTGCTGTCAAGCCTTAAAGAGGGAGCGGAGCGGGAGATGGGATGGTGCTTCTTTTCATGTCGAAGAGGGACTCATCTTACTTCCGGGTTGTGGGGCAGACATTTTGAATGTGCGTCCTAGCGGCATGTGCGGAACATGAGACTAAACCCTGGAGCAGGACCCGCGCAACAGCAACAACACCTCTGGCAAAAGGCTAAGACTCTGACAGTGGATGGTTCTTTCAGCGAAGCTTATCAGGGGTCGTGGATTGTTTGCTGAACTAACGGGAGTGCACTGCGAGGCTTCGTCGCGGAACTTCGATTCCCAGAACTTTCGCTGGACCGCTGGCTGGGCCCCCATACTGCTGACGGAATCTCAGTGCCAGTACGAGGCTGAGAATTCCTTCCGTCAGTGGCGTGGCAGGTGGATCCACTCACAGCGCGGCCTCAGCAGCAGCATGGGTGGCTCGAAGTGGGTCCGCACCTCCAAACAGACCTTGCAAAGCCGCCAAGTGCTATAAAGCATGCTGCAGACTACCTAAGGTCCAGCTCGATGCCAGGCCAGTCGGCATAACCATCATCGATTCTCAAGTTCGTTCTGTGGCAGGTTGGATGCAGCATCTGGCGTCTACTCGGGTCAGTGGGCCCTGGCCCCAGAACACAATGTGCCATACATATATACATATATATAATACTGTGCCCCCCGCCCCCGTGACCGCCCATGGATCCACCATTTTCTGGCATGAGGTACGCGCCATGGACCAAAGGGTTTGGGGGTTTCGAGGGTTAGGGTCTAGGGTTTGGGGAAGCTTTGTCGAAAAACCTAAAGAAACCTAAACACCTAAAACACCTAAAATCCAAGAGTCTTGTCACAGGCTTCACAGCGGAAGACTTCTAGGATTTAGGTTTTTTGGTTTTTCAGTTAGTTTTTTGTTTAGTTTTTTTCAGTTAGGTTTGTTCAATTAGGTTGTTCGATAAAGCTTCCCTAAACCCAAACCCAACACCTCGGCCCTGGAATACAAACATTGCAACGCTGTTGTCGATGGCGCGTACCTGAAGCCAGAAAATGGTGGATCAGTAAAATGAATATTGATATTAACATTAGTATTCATATTAGTACTAATATTAGCATCTATGTAATACTAAGACTACTACGAATACTAATGTTCCTACGAATACTAATAACCATAGGCTCATTAATAGTCTTATTTGTACTCATAAATATACAAACAAACGCTTATATCAATGCGAATACATGTATTAGTACCAGTATTACTCCCACGAATGCCAGCACTCATATTCTTAGCATGCATAGTACGAATATGAGAACATTCGCATTCGTAATAATATAACTGCTTAGTATGTATATTCGTATTGTTAAGTCTTACTCATATTTATATGAATAACAATGTTTGTACTCATACAAATATACATACAAAAACTTATATCAATGCGAATACATATGCCAACGTAAGTTCTACTCCTGCGAATAATAATGCTCATGTTCTTATTATACACAATGCTATTATACAATCTTCGTATTCGTATTAATAATTTCTAGTATACATATATATATATATCAGTATTATAAATTCTTACTAGTATTTATAATCAGAGTAGTAATTTCCTACGAATAATCATATTCATATTCGTATTAATGTTAATCTTAATACCAGTATTCAAGATAGTATTCAAGATAGTATACATACTTATACTAATATTGATTTTCATATGAGCACTAATACTCTCACGAATACTAATACACATAGTAATGTTAGTACTAGGAATACTCGTGTTCCTACGAAACAAACTAGTAATCATATTCACAGGTAATCTTAAAACCAATCTACAAATATTGATACTAATACTAATACCAATACTGCCAATATTACTACTATGAATATAAGTATTGTTATTCTTACACATACTGATACTCATATTTTTGTTAACTATTCTCAATACTTATATCAACGTTAACAGTTCTTTGAATACTTTTATTGATACCAACATAGCACGAATACTGAGGCTAATACGATTATCCCATTCATATTAATATTAATATCCAGACTTATGCTAATGGATACTAACGTACATACTACTACAAGTTGCTTACCGGTATCTGCGCGTATGTGAACCAAACAAAAATCGCAAACAGCACATAGTACACTTAGTACACTCGTTTGACTCGTTTGCTGCATGTTTCGCATATGCTTCGTTTGCCTCGCATCGCAGTTTTCTGCATCGTCTGATGCTGGCTCAACAACCACCGCAAACGGTGGATCCTTGGGGTGGGGGGGGGGGTAGTAATATACATACATACATACATACATACATACATACATACATACATATATATATATATACACATTTTTTTTGACATTTACTATGGTACTGTTGTAACATGGAGCCCAAGGTCATACTATTCTTAAGTACTCCGGCCCTCCATATATCGCCGAAGCTACTGTGGAAAGCGAGCACCAGAAGTTCTGCTTCTGGGATTTGCACAGGCTTTCTCGGGTTGTGCAGAGCCCGTCGGGGTTTTAGAGGCGTTTATCGGGTCTTACATGGACTTGCTGAGGCCGTGACAGGATTTACAAGCATGAACAATGGACTGAAGTGCTTGGGGTGTTTAGGGCGCTGTGGACATTAGGGGTGTCTGGCGTACTCTAGCGGACTCTAGCGCCATCACCTACTTTTGTGTAGGTGATGACCATGAAGAGGGCTACAGGTTTCGGGATCAGGGCAGCTCCCTGCCCAATAATTCAGTCATGAGGGTTTTTTGGTTTCGGATTCAGGGTGCATGGTGCCCTGTTTGATTTCTGGTTTCAGGTTCCTACCCCGAACATCCGAGACTCTGTTCCCGGAGACGACAGCCATCCACCCAAACTTCGACAGAATCCTTGGCATCACGTGCAGGGATTATGCTGCAAGAATCGGACGAGGAATCCCGAATACAGGGCCAGAACAAAAGCCTTATATACTACAAAGACCTCAAAGCATCTCAAAGCCCCCCCCCCCACTATCTCTGACTGCTACCCTAAAGCCTTTAAAGCCTGAACTGCCCACGATTCTCCAAGGAACTACTGCATCGGCCTGATTGGTCTCCATTGGCAACTGCCTGAAACAGAAGACATTAAGACGGATGGGGCCACCGGGCTTTTTGGGGTTTTTGCGGTCTAGTGCCTGGAGGAGTGGAACAATAGGGTCGTATGAGCAAAAGACTCTGACATGCACGGGAGAGGGCAGTTGCGCAAACCTCGCGAAACTTTAGGGTTTAGGGTTTAGGGTTTAGGGGACCTGTCTTTGCCGGCCGGTTTATTGTTTAGGGTTTAGAACTACCAGGTAAGTTGGAGGTGCTTCACAGCAACAGCGAGACCTAAATGACTCAACAAAGGCTGCCGGGGCGATCTCAAGTATAGCATGCATCTGTTAGGAAACCCTTGCAGACATATGACTAATCACTGAGGTTACCATTGAGCCCCAAGCCCGCATGCAACCCATAGGAACGCGCTGAGAAAGCCAGAGTTGAAAAAACTCACTACTTACAAACATACATACATACATACATCCATCCATCCATGCACTAAACTCCTAAGCCCTAAACCCTGAACCCTGTCCAAGAGAGGTTTGGGCCTTTCTGGCTTGGTGACTATAGGGTTTAAAGTTGAGGAGTCATGCCTTATAAGGCCTAAAGTTGAGGGCCGTTGAGGGCTTGCGGTTTAAGGTTTAGGGCCGTTTTCATAGGG